AAACAAAACAGGATTTTTAAAAAAATTGACCTTTTAAAGAGAATTGTAAGAAGCAGACAAGCAAAACTGCTTGACAAGGGAAAATGGCGATTAGGTCAATGAGGATAAATTGTGCTAGCTTCGTTTGTTGCTGTTCGCGCCAAATGTTTTTTGTGGTTCCATTCTTGGAGGTGGACCTTGGAGATACCATTTCGGGATGTGGATACCATACTTCCCAGCAGTAAAAATGGAAATAAAAATACCATTCTTGGAGGTGGACCTTTAAACAGGGCACGTCAACGAAATTTGACTGAATGAGATATTTTTTTTTTTTTAGTTCATAAGTAAACAGCGTTTTTTTTTGTTTAAGTACGGCGTTTAGCAAATTCCTGTCAACAAGAATATCACAATCAGAAGTTAGGAAAACCTAAAAATTTAACAATGTCAGATGCAAGGTAATCATAAGATGGGGGTTTATAAACTGAACTACAATTATATAAAATAACAGAAATTCGGAATAATGTCAGTTTTTATAATTCTTAAATTTTATTTTAACCATTTCACCCCAAGCAAGGCGATAACGCCACTAAGACCCAAGGGTGTTATGAAGGAACAAAAAACAAACAGGATTACAAAAGATAGATGGCGATTGATGTCAGATTAACAATTTTAGAGAATATAGGTTTACAGGAAAGCAACAGCCGGAAGAGTGTCCCACACGCAAAAAGTGCAAAAAAAGTAACTATCAGAAGGAATACTTGCATTTACATATAGCTATTTCAACCTTAAAACAATGAGACCTAATTGCCAATCTAGTACTACGCTTATATTTATGAAGTTGAATTACCAAAGAGCAAAGCTCATCAGAACAATCATCATGAAAATACTAATAGTTATAATGTACTGCGAAGTAACACTGCATCGGTGGGAAAGTGACTGAAGCCGGGATGCCAGGTCAGGGCCAATAAGATTGAAGATACTTCTTTGAATTCCGTCAAGAGTCTCTAGATACATAGCTAAAGTAGCAATACAAAGCCGGAACTTCAAAGTAAATTGCCAAGATATTTTTGTGAAACTGTGTACTGTAAATACATAATATATGTATATTTTTTTAATTCCAATCTGCTCAATAAAAAACAAATATTTGCTCTGTAAACGATATTTCTTTTTAATCATTCACCACAATGCCATGCTTACCGATTCAATCTTTGACACACTGTATGTACACAGAAACTTAGAATAAGTTTTTTTTTTTTTTTTTTTGGTGTTGAATGATTAAACATCAATTGCAAGAAAACCGAATGCATAGCTGTTATCAAGAGAGACCAGCCCTACATGCAATTTACAAACTGGAGATACCAAAATCAAACAAGTGCAACAATTTAACTATCTGGGAAGTGTTTTAAGAGAGAACGGAACGTGTAACACTGAAATCCAAACGAGCATTGAGATAGCAAAATAGGCCTCCCAAAGTATTAAGAAAGAACGGAATGTTCACCCGTCGTCCAATACTGAACTCCTGCTTCCTCTTGAGGCGAAATATTTATTACGTATGGAATAGTCCATTATGTTATTATGGGTAACGTCCCATAACACTTAATAAATGCGGAAACTTCCATCTATGTGCTCTATGCTCGATCCGGATCAAATGTGAGGATCATTCCCAATTATTATGGAATGCAGAGTTTTCAGCTGATCGTGTAGCCATCTTCAGGATCGGCGGCTTGAGCTGTTTGATGCTTTTGAATTTTTTCAATTAGAATCCTACATATATCGTTGTAGTGACATCGATGTACGTAATGCAATCGAAACAAATGCATCTGTTTATTGGTGAACATATCCAGGATAGGATCAAAAAGCGTAAAAACTACCGAGGGAGCTTAAGTGAATGGGTGGCGGAACAAGGTTTTGGAGAGATAACAAAAAGACACAATTTAGTTAGAGCTACGAAGGAGTGAAATTGTGGACACCTATGATCGTCAACGCCAGCGAATACTGGACAATCTCATTTCAAATGAAGTTACTTGAAGCAACAGAAATGTCGTTTTACAGTAGGATGCCGAGAATACCATGGACAGAACATGTGAGCAATGATCAAGTTTTAGAGAAAATGGAAACAAAAAGGACACATACTTAACATCAGGAAGAGACACATAAAATTTCTATGGCACATAATGAGGAAAGAGCAGTCGGCAAAATTAATACTTTAGAAAATTTTATGCATGGTTGTCAAGCAAAAAGGAAAAGCCCGATATGCTAATTAAGAATTGGCGATACAAAATCAAGCAAGTACAAAACTTTAAATATCTAAAGACGAATAGGAAATTCGTCACCGAAATTCGAATTAGGATGGCAAGATATGCTTTCCAAAATCTAAGCAAAGAATTAGGAAACAGGAAAATTTTGTAAGAAACAAAAAGAAAAGTTCTGCAATATAGATCCTTCCGTATGGCAGTGAATGTTGGACAACCTCCTCACAAATAAAGAGACTTGAAGCAACAGAAATATGATTCTACAGAAAAATGTTGAGAACAAAAATTTACTGAACATGTGATGAACGAAGTTTTAGGAAAAATAGAAACAAAAAGGCCACTTATACTTCGAACCAGAAAGAGACAGTTGAAATTTATCGGACATATGAGGAAAGAGGACATGGTGAATTTGACACTTACAGCGAATAGTAAATGCAAGAGGATCAGTGAAAAGTAGCAAATAACCTACTTGACGAGTCTGTGAAAATGGCTCGCAGAACAGGAATTAGCAGAAATAGTAAAATAAGTATTACAAAGTGCTACAAGGGACTAAGTCGTAGTGTATCATGATTATGCAGGTCCTGAAAGGACATTGCAAAAGTACAAGTCTTGCAAAACATAAAAAACGATGTAACTCTTCATTTTTAAAGTCTACTTCAACCCTATACTTCCAAATGATTTTTTTTTAACAGGGATAGATAGGTTCACCCGTCGTCCAATTCACACGTCTCTCCAATCTTTTGATCAGAAGTAGGGTTTTATCCCTTGTTTCCTAATTAGGATTGGGTTTCCCGTTACTTCTTAAGTTTTTTCATTCTCTTTCCCGCCTAGTAACCCCCCGCCACTTGCGTCTTAGTGATATTATCGCCTTGCTTGGGGTGAATTGATATATATTTCAATTAACCCTAAGCGATACATTCATAATACCGTTGCTTTTCTTCTCTACCCTTTCCTTCTTCACCTCACCCTGCCTTTTTATCACACCTAACGTCGTGTTTTTGTTTTATTTGTTTTGTTTTTTTAATAATATAGCGTTCTTTAGCTTTTTTTTTTTAATTAAAATGTAGGGAGGTCAATTGATAAAAATCGCCTGAGGATACCATAAGGTTGAAATCAAGGCAATGAATTCAACTGATCTCATGATTTTTAACATACATATTTTCGTCTTAAGATCGCGCGAGCGTGAAACACGGGTTACGACTAGGGCCATCCTTTCATAGGATTTAACGTTGTTAAGTGATTCTAGCCAATCTAATCTTCGAACACTATTTGAGTAAGTAGGTTTGTTTTTAGGACTTTTTCTTTTTTTTTCGGTATTGTCGGTTTTGTTCGAGACTTTAACTGGATAAGAGTTTTAGGTTTTGGCAAGTTGTCTGTTGATTCCATCAACAGTTTTGGTTTAACACACATATATATATATATATATATATATATATATATATCTCGAATGATAGTTCATTTCCGGTTCTTCAGTTTTATTCAGTAAAACTTAAAATTAAAAGAAATGTTTTTTGTTTAGTGAAGTGTTATATTTAAAGTTAAACAAAAATAATCTCTACAAAGAAATGAATGAATACCATTAATCCGGAAAAATAATCAGGCTAATATCGTTATTGTTCTATACCTGTTCGTATGTAATCTGACTTTCCTGAGGAGCAAGAAAAGAATTATATTTTTTTTTCTTCTTCCTCCAAGTATATCCTCTTACCTCTTCATATTTTCTTTATTCGTTAACTATTTCGTTTGGTACATTCGCTAATTTTCCTAGAGTTTTAAAAAGATGGTAGGTCATTATTCTGTACAAAAAGAGACTTGTAGCCTCATTTCTTTAGTTTTTAAGAGCTCGCTCTAACAGTAGTTATGATATTTGTACGAATCATTAAAGTGGCGGTAAGATTCACGTTTCTTGAAATAAAGTCGCGGCATACAACTTACCCAGAATATTTTATCTCAGTTACCTTTATAATTTTATTGAACGGGTGTTAGCTTGTTTGCCGTTTTCTTTTTCGTCAGGGAATTTATTTGATAATCACAAATTTAATGAAAAACAACACATAGAATATTTAATATCGATCATATACAGATTGTAAACTGAACACAAAAAACACATTATTGTTGCCCGATGGAAATTAATGAGCATTATTAATTATTTAAGTGTTGTATATGAAAAGTAATGCGTTCCATTGAAATTTTAAATCATGCGCCAGTTTATATCGGTTCCTATATAAATGAAAACAAAACAAAATAAACCTGCAATCGGATTTACATACAAAACAATTTCCAGAAAGTCTACGGTACTACAAAAACAAAAAACAAAAAAAACAAAAAAACAAACCAAGAAAAAACAAAAACAAAACAAACAATCTCTCTAGTCAAATTGATATTCCCACTTCAAAATTATAAATATAACTGCTAAAAATCAGTCAACCTCAACATAATGAAACAAGACAGAACGAAAAAAAAAAAAAATTCACATATGATAAACCCGATTTGCTCTAGTAATTTAGTATTATGTGACGGAGTGAACAGTTTTATTATTATTATTTCTTTTTTTAACATTTGGGAGAGGGGAAAATAAGATTAAATTTCTCAAGCTTGAAATTAAATCCGGGCCGTTGGTATAAAAATAGAAACAATTTTGAGCTCCATCTTTCTATATAGGTAAATGGAAACTACTTTCGCAGACTTCCAAAATTTTTACATTTACTGTTTTGTTTTTATCTGAATTTTCTGCTCTTAATTATTCCAGGTTATTAAAAACTGTCTGTTTTACGGCCACACCACGGTGAAACACGTGTTCCCGTACGATCACCGAAGTTAAGCAACTTCGAGCCTTGTCTGTACCTAAATGGGTAAACGCTTGAGAATGGCAGGTGCTGGGTGTGCAGGTGGTGTAATGGATAATGGCTAGGGATTGTTAATCCGGGAAACCAAGTTCAAAATGAGTTCATTATATTCACTTGCGCGCAAATACTCGTGGAAAGGTAAGAATCTACCACTTCTCCCCCACATAAGGGCTAATTAGTGAAACTTGTATCACTAAAAAAACATTATCAAATAAAATAAATACAACTGCATACAACCCATAGAGGTTGATATGACGCTAAACAAAAACAAGCAACCAATCAAAAGTTTCCACCTCACACGGCGTCTGCTCAATATCACCGGCAGCAGTTTGTGCTGGCTTATGATGAAAGTTGTTTGATTGAATATGTTGCCGAAATCTAAATATTTTAAACAATTTTATGATTTCAATTACAGATAAGATTTATTGTTGATCATTTTACTTTAAAAATGTATTGGTAAGTTTTACTATAAATATATAATTTTATACTTACTATTTTTTTGTTTTGTTTTGGGGTTCACTATTTTCCCATAGTTGGGACCCTAACAGGTGCTACCACTCCGAATCAGAGTGGACCTGGTAACGGCAGCAATTAAGAAGTGGTTCCAAGTTTCTCAAAATTTGCAATCTCCCGATCCGAGGCTTTGCTGCCAGATTTTGGGAAGATAAATTTCATTGAAAGTAAGACAATTGTTCTGCTGCTCTTGTCGCGATTTCGAGCAGTGGCGGGAATTTAGCCCTATTACGCTTAAAGTAAAAATTAATTTCCCCTCACATTGACGAGGCATTTCTATTTTAAAGGGCATATAAAAGAAATTAGATATTATAGACAAAAAATAAAAAAAATAGAAGTATAAACAATTCAGATCAAAATTTTTTTTAAAAAGGACAAGTTATAAAAGTTAGAAAGTGAATATTTCTCACGTGAAGAATGTAAATTAAGAAAAGTTTTCATTAATTTTTGAATTCTGAAAACTGTCATCGGTATTTATAATCAACTAGATCGTTGAAATTTATTAAAGGAGAATTTACCTACGTTTTCAATATCGCTGAGTTGAGAGTTTTTAATCTTTGAAATATTTACTTTCATTTTGTATGTTTAATGCGTTGTAATCCGATTTAGTTTACAGTGGTTTTCAGTTTGGGTTTATTTACAGAAACCACATTTGTGGGTTCCAGCCCCAAAAGTGGCTCTTTATGTTTAAAGAATTTTTGTTTATACAATTCAAATAAATATTTTCTAATTTTTCTGGATGTATTTTTTACTTAAATACATGATAAAATAAGTATATTTTCCTGTCTTCAATTTATGTTTAAACTATTTCAGAGTATCTGGTGATGGTCGGTGGCAAATTGGTTTTGCGATAGTAGTTTAATAAGTCCAGAGCTGACGTGTCTACTAACTGAATTTTTATCTAAAATTTACTCTGGATAAGATTCACGGATTAATGGAGACTAGTTGGATTGAGTGCATTAACAAGGAAAAAGATTATGTTGAAAAGTAAAATGTTGCAGGAAATAAATATTCCCATCATGAGGCAAAGAGAAAACTGAAAATTGAGTGTTTGGTTATTACTTTGCAAAAACATTGAATCTTTGAAAAAGCACCAACCCCATTCTTTAATCGGTCAGTGTAGGGGTTTTAAAATGCATAGCCTTTTATTTTTGATAATGTTAACTTTTTTTTTTTTTATTCTGTTTTAGTTTTTCTTAAATCATTCTTGCGTCTGGCTATGGATTCGAGAAAAAAAAAAAAAAAAAAAAAAAAAAAAAAAGATTTATTTAGTATATTTGAAAAATTATTTTGCAAAATATCTGAGCCATGTAACAAGGTGTGAAAAGTCATATCGCACAATTATTAAATTGTCGCAAATTATGTAACAAATTACTTATTTTACGATTACGCACACGTGTCTGTAGGGATGAAAGTCTGCACTATTTCATTTCACTCTTTTATATATATATATATATATATATATATATAGATAACACACGTGTTTGTGTATTCTATATGCTGTCAAGTGAGTGAAATTGAATAGTGCGCGCAAACCAAATTATCTCCAGGGTAATTTATTTTTAAATGGAATTCTGAAAAAAGGCAAGGAGATCACTGTACATGGCCAAAGGAACGACTTGAAAGTAATTGGTTGTAACTAGACATTGGAGTAATAATTTTTTTTTTTTCAGGATCAAAATCCTTTAACATTTTACTATCAAATGTTTGGGAGCGCGTATGCATTAAAATAAAAATCGCACTTGGGTATATTTTGTACGTTTTTTTTTTTTTTTTTCGATTTATATTGTTTTGGTCAGTTATTCTCCAACCATTAGGGCATCCGAGATATTTTTGAAATAGTTTCTTTGTAACAGGAACATCAAATGAGAAGAGAAAACATTGATATGAAATATTTCAGCAAAATAATCATGAATAAATACAAGACTCAATTTTAAAATATAAATCAATATTTATTCAGAGTAAAATGTACTTTTACATTTGAAAGAAAAAAAACAAAACAACGATTCTGTTTTGATTATATATATATATATATATATATATATATATATATAATGTGTCATTGATACAATTTTCAAACGTTTTGGTTTAGACTTATTTCGATCTGTGTACGAGCAGGTACTGAAAAGTCAAAATCTCGACCTAGAAACCCTCAAATAATTGTAATAAAAAAATAAAAATCTAATATCTAGTCATATTTGGGGAAGTGGATTGGACCCAGAAATTTTCAGCAATTTGCTTGGATTCTATTATCGGTCGGTGATAATCAGTTCTTTTAATATTCAGAATTGACACTAGAAACGAACAGAATCATAATTGCATTATTTAGACAATTGCAAAAAGAGAATATTGTTTTCTCGCTATAGAAAAAAATAGAAAAAATATCAAATACCATGATTAAAAAAAATAGGTTTATTTTATTCTTAAAAATAAATTTATTTTTTATTGGAATTTCATGTCTAATTGATGTGACATGAAAAGGTTGTAGTGAGAATTTGTACAATTTTGTTTAATTTCAGACAAAAATGTTGACACAAATATTACACAATTACTAGGCTTAGTTTAGCATAGAGAACATACTAGGAATCGAACATTAATAACAGATCATTAAGAGAAGGTGCTAGAATGTCCTCGGCCCAACCCACTTCACAACATCTGACTAAATGTCTAAGTACTGAAAGTTTTTGGTCGGCCAGAAAACTTTCCAGCAGCCTTTCAAGACTTGCTACCTAGCCGCTGATCTATGGTAGGCGCCTAAATTTGCATATCTGAACATCAATAAGTACGTAGACAACTGATTAAAAAAAAAAAAAAAAAAAGCATTTATTTATTTTTAAATATGTCGTAAACAATATTCTTCCTTGTCAATGCACATAATCCAGTTGTGAGTATCAATATGGATCAAATTTTATCCAGTGAAATTTTCAGCTAAATTTTACGAACTCACCGATCCAATCTTAAGTAGCTGATCGTAGTTCGTTTTAAGTATCAATCAGTGACAATTGTTCATTTTAGTATGGTTTATTTAATGAAACACGTGCTTGCCACAATAAAAAAAAATGACAGTTCTTTTTCGCGTGCGGGGACGTATACAGTCTTATATCTGTAGTGTCCCTTGAGGACGTGGGCAATCAGTTTTTCCATAACTTTCGCTATTCTGATACGTGTATATTATGAATGTAAAAGAGAAATAAGAGGAAAGAAATTTCACCTGAGATCATGATAACGTGGCTGAAGTTAGTGTATAGAACATCGGTAGAGGCGACATTTAGAACGTGGGATTTTGTTATCACATGAGCCGTTCGATACATTATCAACGCTTTTATATTATTAAACAAAATCATTTAGAACGAATGATAAATTGAAAGATTAGCGGGTTTAGCAACTAAGGCAATCTTTCGGAAGCGTTTTGAGAAATTATGCTATGACATGGAGATAAAAAAAAATCATTTCTCTTTTGGGAATATGAAATAATTTTAATTTGAGAAAAAAAAAATCGGGTATTTCTTTGTGCAAAATTTATTTTTCGGGCAGATACAAAAAGTAACCTATCAAATTTAAAGGGACTGATACATTTTCATTATCCAACTATGTAACGACATTGTTATAGTTATCCCTGACACTAAAGGATCTTACAAAGAAGCAATAAAAACATATTTTCTCAAAAATACATTACAAAAAAAAAAAAAAAAAAAAAAAAAAAATAGAATTATGTGCGCGTGTGTGTGTGTGTGTATATATATATATATATATATATATACACACACACACACACACACAAGTAACTACGCTCTTATTGATCCAACCCTTGGTGCAAGTGCATATTAATAAATCAATTTTTAGCTGAATTTTTTATGCATAGTTTTATGTCTATAATACTAATGGGGAAGTGTCGGGTTCAGTCTATTGTCAAAGAAGAATATTATATTGAGAAAAAAATTTCCTGTCAACTATAGGCTTTTTTTTTTTACATTGTTCAGCTAAAGAATTTTTAATGAAGCTACTTTGAAAGCGAAAGTATCCTATAAATTTCCAAGTTAGGTGCATCCAAATATTTTTGAATATTAGCTTTTACATTTATCTTGACGAAAGTAGATTCTATTTGGTAAATAAAATTTAATGAGATGCTAAAATTCTAAATTCAAATCTGATAAAAGCAAAAAAAAAAAAAAAAAAATGAAATGAAAATTTGAAAAAAAAAAAAAAAAAATGAAAATACTGGCTGCCCATTCCATGAAAATATTTTTTTATCATTTTAAAGTCAAGAGCCTAATTTATCTCAGCCGTTGGGCAATACTTTTGAAATATTCACAATTTTTGAATACACGCTGAAAATATAAACTACATTTTCAGTCATGAATTTAGAAACGCTTTCCTGACATTTTTAGCAAAACATTTTTAAATAATTTGATTTATTTTAACATTGAATAGGAAAAAAAATTGCATTGTTTTAAAATGGTTTTCACTTTAAGTTTGTGAAAGCCAAAATATAGACGATTTTTTTTGTTTGTTTTTTTTCA